CAGTTGGGTGTATCTTTCTCTTTCTCCCTTGCCTTTCACTTCCCTTCTTTCCTCAGTTATTTGTAAAGCTTCCTCAGACAGCCATTTTGCTTTCTTGCATTTCTTTTTCTTTGGGGTGGCTTTAGTTGCTACCTCTTGTACAATGTTGGGAACTTCCATCCATTGTTCTTCAGGCACTCTGTCTATCAGATTTAATTCCTTAAATCTATTTGTCACCTCTATTGTATATTCATTTAGAATATGATTTAGGTCATACCTGAGTGGCCTAGTGCTTTTCCCTACTTTCTTCAATGTAAGTCTAAATTTTGCAATGAGAAGCTCATGATCTGAGCCACAGTCAGCTCCTGGTCTAGTTTTTACTGACTGTATAGAGCTTCTCCATCTTTGACTGCAGAGCACATAGTCAATCTGATTTCTGTGTTGACTGTCTGGTGATGTCCATGTGTACAGTCATTTCTTGGGTTGTTGGAAAAGAGTGTTTGCTATCATATTCTCTTGACAAAATTCTACCAGCCTGTGCCCTGCTTCATTTTGTATTCCAAGGCCAAACTTGCCTGTTATTCTGATTATCTTTTGGCTACTTACTTTAGCATTCCAATCCCTCATGATGATAAGGACATCATTTTTTGGTGTTAATTCTAGAAGGTGTTGTAGGCCTTCACAGAACCGGTCAACTTCAGCCTCTTCAGCACCAGTGGTTGGGGCATAGACTTGGACTACTGTGATGTTGAATGGTTTGCCTTGGATTCAAACTGAGATCATTCTGTCATTTTGGAGATTGTATCCCAGTACTGCTTCTCCTACTCTTTTATTGACTATGAAGGCTATTTCATTTCTTCTGAGGGATTCTTGCCCGCAGTAGTATACCTGATGGTCATCTGAATTAAATGCACCCATTCCTGTCCATTTTAATTCACTGATTCCTAAGATGTCGATGTTCAGTCTTGTCATCTCTTGTTTGACCACATCCAGCTTGCCTGATTCATGGATCTTACATTCCAGG